ACAGTGCTTAATTACTAAGAAGAATTAATTACTGTTGATTTTATTCCACTAATTTTTAACTTTATTCGCCATCACTCCATTATTGTTTGCTGTTATATTCATATTTTTGCTAGGAAACTTTCTAGGCCATCATATAAAATCTTTATTCTTATTTTGTTCCTCTCGATTAAACAATTTCCTTAGGGGTTACAGGTCTAGTCGATCATACGGGTACGATGATGGAGGACGGCGTGACAGACATCCTAGGCGAAATGATCATAGGAGTGATTGGCATCGTCGAAACGATTCAGGAAGTAAGATATCCAAGTCTTTAATAAAGTTATGGGTTTATAATAATGATAATGTAAATAATTAGGTGGCTATTAAAAGCAAATTATATATATGTTTGCTATTTTAATATATAATGGTTTTGAAAAAATTCGAGTGTTTCATTAAGTATTTTTCTTTATTAAAATGATATTAATCAAAGTTTCTTATTAGGTGATCGACGTCGGAAACATGACCGTGACGAGAAAAGAAATCACCGTGAAAAAGAAAGGTGTTCGCGTCGTACTTATCAATATTCTCCAGATTCAGATACTGACCGCAAACAAAAACATCATATTTTAGCTCATAGTGACGGAGAAGGCCCGGAACAATTTAAAAAGCATAGTTCGAGTGTGGAGGAGGATAAAGGTCGTAGGTCAAAGTTGAGGGAAGTCATTCCAGATACAAAAGATATAAAAGCAGAACCTGCACTGAGTCCCGATAGCATGTCCTCGAAAAAAAATCCTTCATTAATTGCACCACCGTTCTGTGAGGAATCGAATGGCAATGCTAGAAATAAAACTCCAGTTTTAGATTCCAGTACTACTGAAATAGCTTTGCCAGAGAAACAATTTACGGATGTTGTTAAAATGGAAATTGATGTCCAGGAGTCAAAAATGAAGATTCTTGGCTCTAATGAAGGTAAAGAAAAAGTGGAACAAAGTTCAGGCCACAAACGATTGCATCGACATTCATCAGAGATTAACGACAGTTCGCAGAAAAGATACCGGCATGATACTCCAGAATCTGAAGATAAAAGCCGAAGCAGTTCTAGTTCCAATGATGAATTCCTGCATCATTCAGGTAGTACACATAGTTCTACAACATCATCAAATGGTGATGCAACTGAAAATATCTTGAACGGAAATTCAGATGAGATACACTCACCTTCTCATTCTCCTGAACCAGTACCGGATACAAGAGATCAGAATAAAAAGCTTGAAAGTCGTGAAAAGAAAATTCATTTACTAAGGGATGGCAATGAGAGATCTGATTCTGACAAGCACAGATTACGCAGAAATTCTGTTGACGACAACCACAGACAGCATTGGTCAAGAAGTTCACATTTTTCGAGATTGGAATCTGACCATGGTAAACACAGACATCGTTACTCAGGTGATTTTCACAGACACAGGAGGCATCACGTCGAGTCAAGTGGATCAAAATTGCGCCGTTCAGAAAGTCACGAGTCCAGACATCGTAGTCATCATCGTTCTACTTCTAGGCCTCATAGATTATCTAGACGGAAATCACATTCCAACGATTCATTATATAAAAGACATCATGAAGAGAGATCCAGAACTCATCATTCCAAACGTCAAGTAAGCAGAAGCCGTAGTAGACCAAGACGCTATCGTAAACATTCCACTGAAAGCCGAAGAAGCGCCTCTTGCCGTGTTCGCAAATCTGCAAGTAGTTCTCAAAAGCGACCATATTCTCCAAGAACAAATAACATAAAATCTAGAAGCACAGAAAGCAGTAGTGAAGACGAAGTGCGTATTAGACGTCGACGACATGATACTTCTAGCTCGAAGGATGAAAGAGATAAAGATAGTCTTGATGAAAAACAATCTTATCATTCCAGTGAAAGCTGCAGTAGTTCTTCAAGCAGTAGGCAATCACCGGTAGAAAGAAGTGGCAAACACTCGAATAATTCTGGAAAGAAACAACGTTATCAATGTGCGTTACGTGAACCAATTGATGAAAGCGATTGATGAATTCAGCGATGTTAGTTCGTTATTTTCGTTATTTGGTGATTTTCAGTTGGAATGTTGAGGACCAAAAAATTTTCCAATATTTGTTGCTTATTCCGTGATTTTATTGAAAAAAAGAACTTGCATTTATCTTTTGCAATTACATAATTAAAATTTACATGATTTTGATTTGACTTCTAATAATTTTTTACAATTAACGATGTAATATATACATAACATTTCTTTAATTTGTAAAACTTTGATGTATTAGCAGACTCATTTTATTCTGAATTGCTCTACAAATGACGAGAGGAATGAATAGATTTTTAGTTGCATCAAGTGTTAGCCGATTTACCAACATATAGTTAAGTAGGTTTTACTACTTAAAAAAGTTCCTTGATATTATTTCTAGCAACCTATGTGATGGAAAATATACGTAGTGTGAAATATAAACAGTTCGCAATTGTTTTGATATATGTTATATGAATATATATTTTTATCATCATCTGTATTCATTTTTTTTTTTTCAGTGCTGTTATTTTCCATTCATTTTGCAATTTGTTCAACGTTCAGTAGCTCGAATCACGCAAAATAAGTATTTGTGATCTAGATTTTCATATCCTTAGAAATATATTTCAGTATGAATTTGGAATATACTGAAGTTCATTATTCCTAAATTAAATTTTTATTGTCTTTGTTGGATAAGAAAGAAATCAACTGATTTATTTTCTTGAGCATACAGTTTAACTGTTCATTTTTTTTTTTTTTATTTCACTAGTTGGTATTAGAGATCATTGAAGGTAAATCGCAGTATTAGTTAGCTATTTGGGACATCATTACCATTACCTCTGTCAAAGTGTGGGAGAAAAATTTTTTTGTGTTTTATTTGTATCTTGTTCTTAAAATACTTTTCCTTTCCCCATAAAAATTTTTTATTCCAGTGCAGTTTGAAAGCTGCAAATGGGACCGATTAAATTGTTTCACTTTATCTGTCCCATAATCTTAACAATGTTTCTTTGTGATGTTTTGTTTGTTTTTTCCGGCGAAGTATTATGCTAGTTTAGCATTTGTATTTTGCAAGCAGTCAGAAATAGTTTTAACGAAAAGCAATTCATAGAAACTTCTGCGAAAATGTTCATTAGTCCATATGATTAGCCTGTATATATTTCATTTTTTAGTTTCAAAACATCGTTTAATAATGATGAAAACATCATTATTGAATGCTAGAAATGGATAGCTTGTCCAATTCTGGCATTTATAGCACCTTTTTGTAAATGATTTGAAGCTGAAAAGCAGATAAAAGCATTTTGCAAGTGGAAAATCTTCATAGCGTTTTTATACTACATAGTTACACTAAGTTATGAGCTTCATTCGTAAGAAATTCGTAAGAAACAACTGCAATTTCAGTTTTCTTTTTTTTTTTTAATTTACATAAATTGAAGTGCGTACTGATAAGTTTTCTTTCACATCTTAGTATTTTAACAATTGTTTCAGCATTTAATATTTCTAGATTTCACTTTTACTTTTTAGCAGTGCAGTTGCTATTATTATTTGGATTTTTATCCAATCATCATTTTTATAAATCTCTTTAAGATAGCAGTTTTGTTTGAGGAAAAAAAATTTCCTATTACTTGTTTTACAATTGGAAACAATATGGAAAATTATTAGCAGTAGAAATTTGGTAAGGATGTATGCATTTTTAGTTAAATCTATTTTCATTCATTTCTTGCAATTTTCCATTTTGCAAATCTTTGGTTTTATTTTGTTTGTTTTTTTTCCCACTGATTTTTTATTTAAATGATTCATTTTTTGCTTTGTTTATGATGTTTTATGAGAATTTTGCTACATGATTGGTTCATTTATCAGCTACTATCATCAATTATTTCTATATTTTCATTTTTTGGCTGATGATAGAATGACATATTTTGCAGTGAAATATTTTGCGCAAATCACGATGTCAATTCGAAGATATTTAAATGTTGTTGGGAACAGTAAAGCTTTTATTGCATATGAAAGTAATCAATAAAATTGTGTGACAGTTAAGCGCCACCGTTAATTTCTTTCCTGATAGCAGCAGCGAAGGTTGAAGAGGGTTGTTTCTATCGCCTCGGTTCTTCTCGGTTTCTCAAATTCGGATAATTGAACTTTTATTCTGATAAAATGATTAATAGTGGAGCGAACTTAGCAGTTACAATTTCAATCAGACAAATCTAATAATATCAATAACAAAAAGGAAGAATGCAAATTACGCAAGATATCCCAACCGGTCAACTGATTTTCATAATCACCAGTGGTGGGTGTTTTACGTGATAATTGGCGTAAGAGATATCAACCATATAAAAAAGATACTGAAGAAAAGGTCATTAAACGTTTGAGTCTAAACTTTGTCCGTGAGCAAAATTATTGTACAGCGAGACAAAATCAAAAAGATTGAATTGGTAAGTTAATTTTGATCAGCATCAGCGAAATGGAGAATAAGGTAAGACAGTTACTTTTTAAAACCATAATTCGATCTAAAAATATCACTGATAACGTTGTCTATTATAAATCATCAACAATTACATCGCGACAAATTTTAAAGCAATGGAATTGGAATGATTTTGAGACTAGTACTGTTACGAGGAGTTGCAGAAAGTAACGGAAATGCTAGCTACTATGCAGTTAAAACCACAAAACAAAAGGATGAGAATGTCTAACTTTAAACAGAATGGATTACTGTTTCGTTATTTTCATAAATATTAGCAACAGGCGCTGTTGTCTTGTATATCATACTTGTTATTCTGTATATGAATGTATTGAAAATAAATTTGATTACATTTGGATGAAAATTTGTAGGTGGAAATACACTTTCACCTTAAATATGACCTGAAGAAATATTTTATAAAGTTTGCCATAAACCGTTTTGCTGAGGTGACTGATGCTTTGGTGAGATTAACAAATGTCACATAGAATTCTTTGACTGTTCCGTTTACTACACTTGTGGTTGTCTGAGAACAAAAATCAAAATACCGCAAGAGCGGTTCGAAAAGCCCATCGCAAAAACTTTATCAACTGCAAGGTACAAAGTGACACCTCGATGACTGTGCTTCCTTGTGCAAGGCGGTGATGACCGCATCTAGGAGGTCGGTAGCTTTGTTTCAGCACTTCACAATAAGCGCCTGGAATTAGCATGGAGTGCTAGACCTTCCAGATCCAGGATGGAATTCCATCAATCCCACATGTTCAGATACCAAATTTCAATTGCTGTGCGGTTCTGAGCGACTCCTCTAGGCTATCAGTGATAAGGGAGCGCTGTGGACATAATATACTGCTTTCAGAGTCACCCGGAGTCATCTGCGGTTGCCGGTATCTGCGAATGATTGCATCTTTTATGGTAGATCGGTCCATCTGTTTTCCCTCTTTAATTTTGTATCAAAATGATTGTGTCATATTTGAAACCTACATTTGCGGTTCAGAACTTAAAATAAGCTTTTATTAATTCAATTACATAACATTATTATCATTGTCAATTTTTACTCATTAAGCATTTGAAATTAACAGATGAAAAGTTGGTATTCATAAGTTTCATTAACTATAGAACTATAAATTTTGAAAAAAAAAATTTGCGGTCCTATAAACTATTTGTTTGTTAAGACTAAATGTTATATGCTTAATGATCAATAGAAATATTATGAGTTTAGTAATTTGCACAATTCAAGAATCGTTCCAATTAATCATTAAATATTTCTTATCATATTGTTAATTGTTTGCATAATCATTTACTGAGGCAATAAACAAATAAGAAATGCTTACATCAACAATAATAATGGTACTAGCATTTGTGATAATTATTAAGTAAAAACAGCGCTAGCAATTATTTATCCAAAGAATATGCAAAATTTACACTTTCTTTCACAAATAATGTTAACTTAAGCTGATAAACTTGTGAGATATCACCCTTATTGGACTGTTATTTAGTTCTCATTAAAATTATTCCAATGTTTGCATTATCTGAAGTATCAAAGATTTTGCATAAATATTTTAACATTCTTATGTCTTCAAATTTGTAAGCTTCCAGTTTCACAAAAGTTTAATTTCATGAATTTTCAAATTAGCACACAATTTAATTCAGATTGTATACATGTTAGCATACAATTTAATTCAGTATATGATTTAAAATTAAAACAACAGTCAGTAAGTGCTCTCTAAAAGATTACAAAATAATTATTATCCTAATATTTACAAGTACGTTAAATTTAATCCCAGAAAAATTATTTCCAAAGAAATTTAATTTCTAACTTGCAAACTATTGTAAATAATAAATACTAAAATAATCTATTTATGGATTATGTTGATGATAATTTCATAAATGATGACGTAAATGACTAATTATATGAAACATAGTAAAATTTTTACGAAATAGTAAACAATACTGAGAAGCTCGCAAACAATATTAATAATGCTAATTTCAATTTAATATGAATTTTATTCTTCCATTTAAAAAAAATTAATTAAAAAAAAAAACAAGTTTTTGAAGGATTAAATTTTATGCAAAAAATAATAATTTTCAAGCTTATTCACTGAATAGAAAAGAAGAGAAAGAGAAAAAATTACAAATCTTGCAGCTTTTTTTTTTTGAAACTTACGAAGTGATTACAGATCACATGTAATTGTTAACCAGTTTCCATAATATTTCAGTTCTTCGATTACCTATATTTCATCCAATTATTATTATTATTTCTTTAGTGATGCTGCAAGTCAAAATTTTATAAATGAAAAGCAGGTTTAAAGAATGATAAACTGGAATGAAAAATTTTTCGGTGTTATATTCAGTTCAATAAAGTGATATAAATGTTAATTATGCGGAATAAATTATTCCCACATAGATTATTTTATGTGAAATTAATATAATTGAAATTTTAAATGTCAAATTAATATAACTTAATATAATAATTAAAAAGACCGTAACGAAGAATAATGATTTTCGGTGATAGTTTTTTACCATTCATATATTTTTTTCTGTATTTTTTCTTTTTGTATTTACTTTTTTTGTGTTTGCTTTGTTACAAAATATATAATTACTAGTATATCTCGTATATATATCATTTCTGCTTCCTCTTTTGTCACAACATATTTCTTTTTTGTCGCCAGATAGTAAAAATCAATTTATTGCTTTTTTTATTTTTTTGTTTTTTTTTTTTTATGTAATTAATTTATGTGACTTAAAAATAGACATAATAGAGAATAAAATAATTTTGAGAAGGTGATGTTTTAAAAAATTAGAAAGCGAAAATGAGCTGCATTTTTTGAAAGAATATGAGCTTTGTTTTGCTTTGCTTCCTTACTAGACTAATATCTTATAAATGAAATGAAAAAATGATGGTATAACAAAAATGCTAACAACTGAGTAATTATAGAAAAATACAATACTAATTTAAGCAATTAGCTGAGCACATTAACTTTTGTTTTTTAGTTTAAATTCTAAAATATATGAGTATGCTTAACAAGTGTTGTAATATCCTGAGCAAATGATGTAATACAAGCTAATTTGTATATTGAAATTTTCTTAGATTACACAAATAAAAATGAAGCATTCAGTCAGTTTAATCCATTGGTCAACTTAAAACGAAAACATAAATCATTTTTGAAACAGAAATGAATTTGAACTAAGACAACGCTTTTTCTCATTTTTTTTTTTTTTTTTTGTTTCCAACAAAATTAATAATTCAGAGAGGATCAAAAAAAGTGAGCTAAATGATCTTTCAATTCGTACACCAATTTTCGTTTGCCTAGTTTGTTATATAATTATAAAATAAATGTTACATATTTTAAAAAAACCACTGATTAAATAAAAAGGATAGGAAAATAAATAAAAGGATTTTTATTTTATCTTAGAATAATATTATCAATTTAAAAAATTATTTTCATATTCAAGCGATGATTTTTTCATATTATCACTGCAATTAACTTATATTTTTATAATGAAATAATTGATCATTGACCTTCAATCAATATTTGAAATTAAAAATGCATATATTTGATGAACTATTTATAAATTATATTAAAATTCATCATTATTTATATAAACATACATATATAAGGAAGTAATTATCTAACGCTAATGATAATTTAGAATGGAAAAGTGAATTGTATGTTCAATTATGTGAATCATATATATCAAATACTTTATATTTCCAGTTTCTATATATTTTTTTATGCTTTTGCATTATTCTAAATTTTGATTAATGCTTCATAATTACGTTCTCATCAACTAAACACTAAATTTTTTTGACATATTACTTTACTGCTAATTTATGATTTTTCTTATTTTTTAAAAATTTTCCACAATTTCTTTTTTGACCCAAATAATAGAAAAAAGTTTACCCAGTAATAGATCCAGCAATAACCAAAAACTTTTTCGTCTTTTTCCGTGAAATTTTGTGTTCATTTTGTCGTGTAATTTGGGGTCCAGTCTGAATTTAACTTGTAGTCTTCCTTATTTGTTATTTTGTAGTTGGTTTAGCCGATGATAGGTATTAATCTAAAGCAGCAATACTGATAATTTCGTAGAGTATCTACAAATTTGATGAAGAAAATGTATAAATGAATAAATTGATGGGGAAATGAACTGAATTGTGGTGAGGGAGAGCAGTTGAACTGTAGCTTACTGGTAAGGAAAAACTGATTGAGACAAAGGATTTAAATGTTTATACAGTGGGCATTGATTTGCAACAAAAGTATGATTATTGAGTAAGGAGCTATCAGATGATCTTTGCTCTCTATATAGTAAGAGATGGGTTTAGTACTGTAGTTTCCCGGTGGATGACTATTAGCTTAGAAGACCTTTAATATTTCGACATTGCAAGCACATTTGATTTGGAACAAAGGAGTAATTTTTAACATAACCTGTGTAAATACCCTTTGTTATCAGATAAAAATGTCTGGGCAAGAGATAAACTCAACTGCAATGGGAAGATGAGTGCTGCAATAATGATTGCTTACATAATCAATTAAAACAAATTTTAGTATTATGGATCAATACAGTTTTATGCGATATATTTTGTAAGTTATTTGGAGGTTCGCAAAATTACTTCGAGTTTTTAAAAATTTTGTTTTGAAAAAAAATTTTTTTCTAACTGCTTTGTATCCTTTGTTATTTATTATTTTAATTATTTTCAATTCAGTTAGACTTTATATTTATTATTTTAATTATTTTCAGTTCAGTTAGACTTTATGACAGTAAATCTATTTTGCTCATATTTGTGAGCAAAAAAAAAATCAGTTTTCAAATTTCATTTTCTCTTTTTTAATATAATAAGAAACTAAAAGCAATCAATATGCATTAAAAGTGTAACGCGCATTATTGGCATGCTAACAGTAACAAAATTTTAAAAAAATATATAATTTCTTTTCTAATTTATTTTTTTTTATTTTTGCATTTCATATCTAGTTTTGCCCAATGTTTCACAACATTTCTTCCTGATTGGTATTAAAAATTTTTATTTCAAATACTAAAAACTGCATATGTGGATGATAAAGTGCTATAATATCAATGGACTGTAATTAGTAATTAGGGCAATCACCAATTCATGAAATTATTTAGCACTAAAATGAATTCAATGAAAATTGGCGCTTTAAAGGCTTAATCCATTATTTATTTTAATATCCAAATTATCATTTTTCTATTAAATATAACAATTGTTTTTCTTCTATTAAATATAATAATTGATTGTAACAATTGATTATCACATTAGTTGAGTAAATAATAATGTTGTTAATACAAAAAAAAAAAAAAAAAAAAAAAAATGCCCATAAAATAAGATCAAAAATAATTGAATAAATATAGAATTTATTCTGATTATTAGAGATTATGGAATTTATTGTTGCTAAAAGTAAGTAAAATTTGAGGATGTATATACAAATTAATACTAATTCTTTAATTTTGTTTTTACTTTACATTAATTTTTGTCTAATAAAAGAATAATGAATTTCTTAATGATAGTGTTTATTAAATTTGATAATACAAAAAAAGAAAAGAAAAATAAAAACGATATATTTAAGCATAATTATCGTTGTGATATTTTTGTTCAATTACTTTAATTGATTAAAATTGTGCAAAAATAAACGATAAAAAAAGATAACCGAAAGAAACGAGATTAATAATTATTTAGGGTTAATTTTTAAACATTTTTTTTCTATTTCTAACTTTAAGACAATTTTTTTGAAATATTTCATATATGTTGAATAAAATAAGTAAAAAATAACTTTATTTATTTCTTATCAAAAAGAAAACAAAAACATCATAATTGTTAATTATATAAGAAATTTCTATTTGCAAAAATTTTTTACAGAAATTCAACAGTTGGTAAAAATATTGATAATTCATCTAGTTTTTCATTCATTTTTTTAGCAATCACATTTTCAGTTGTTGAAATGGTGACATTGATGAGAGGCACTATAGTAGAAATTGTTTGTTTGGCATTCATATTCATCTTATCATTTTTTTATTTGAATGGCACAAACAGTAGTAGATGATACACCAAAGCAGAAATTTTAATTTGTTTCAATGATAAATTTATATAGATGAACTGTTTAAAAATCTTGTCAATTTCTAACTATTTTTTTTTTTGGAAGAAAATTCAATTTTCATAAAATATTATTCAAAATTTCATGCATTTTTTTTTTGGCTGTGAAATAAATTCAGTTTTTTTATTGTCGATCTTATCTTTTTATCATTTCTCTATCTCAATGATTATATTTCACTTTTGTACTTTTCATTTTTTTTATTTCTCTTTTTTCTTATCATCTTTATTTTTTATTTTTTACTTCACACATTCATAGCTGTATCAATCAAACGATCATTTCTAGCATTTGTTTGTTCTTTTTTTTCTTTTCTTTCATTCAATTTCATTTTTTCGATGATACACTTTTTATTTTTTTTTTTCTCAAAAAACAAAAATAAAAAAATTGGCTATGATTTGAAAAATAATGCAAAAAAAAAACTTTTGATGGGACGTAAAATATTTTTTTGAGCACATAATTTATTTTTATTTTTTAATTGAAAATTTCCACTTCATTAATAGGTAGTATTGTCCCTCTCGTCCTCTCTCTCCATTTATTGTAACTTTTTCCTTTGTCATTAAATTTTCATTCCTTCATTGAATTTTTTTAGTTCAATCTAATTGCCTCAAGTGAAACACCGCAGCTCGCTTACTTTGCAAAAAGAATAATTCAATCATAACAATATGCTGAAACTTTGAGAAGTGAAAAAAAGTGATGATAAAGATGAGACAGAGCAATTATAATAAAATAACGATCTTCAAAATTTTTAAAATTATTACTGTTATTAGAGTTTTTTATTTCCAACCGACAACAAATTTATCATGTACAATAATTTTTTGTACCATAAATATGAAATTTGAAAATTAATTTGGCTCTTTAAAAATATTTTTAGTCCTCGTTAGTATTTCACCTATATCATACGCGTTCACTCCTTTTTCCTTACATCACTTTTATTTATTTATTTTTTCGGTCAGATATAATATTTTATCAAATTTGTTTTGCAAAGTATAAAGGAAGGAATGATTGGCCATTATTAAGCACACATTTAAAAGAGTCATATATGTTATTTAGCTTTCTTGGCTTTTTTCAAGAGGACTTATGCTATCATTACTTAAATGTTATAATCACTTGTACTATTTGCTACTTATGCCTTAAATTTAAATTATCCATTAAATGTGAAAAAATTTTTTTTTTCCTTTCACATAAATTATAAGAAAATTTCATGAACTAGAAAAAAAAAGACTAAAAATTGTCTTTCTTTTTGTTGTGAAGATTTCAACCTTTTTCATCAGTCAATTTGCTGTATATAGAAAGTAAATTTTTATTCACATTTCTTTTTTCTTCACCTTTTCTTTTTACTCCATTCAATTCAAATTAACAAATTTTAATCAAAAATATGATTTTCTGCTTTTTTTGCCTTTTTCTTTTTTTGTAACAAATAAAAGAAAATTAAATAATCAAATTTTAATAATTTTTTTTCACCTTTTCCTCTTATTTTTTCTTTCTTTTTTTCTTCTCTTTTTTTCCTCCAGTATTTGATTAAATAATATATGTTCAATTTACCACTTAAATAAACTTACTATTTAAATAAAAAAGAAAGGGAGTAAAAGGGAATTTGATCAATTTTTGCATTTTTAATGGAATTAAACAGAAAAAAAAAAAAACGAGAACTGGATTTCAATGTCAATCTTTTCTTCCATTTTTCTTTTTCCTCCTTTTTTATTTTTTTTTTCCTTTTTTTTTGCTCTTATAGCACTCAAATGAACTTATATGCTTTAAATAAACTTACTGTAACACTTTTCATTTTCTTTTGTCATCTTTTTTTTTCTCTCTCTCTCTCCTCCTTTTCAATATTCCATTCAATAATGTTTTTTTTGTTGATTTTACACAAATTTTTCCAATATAAATATTTGCATATAGAAAATTCATTGTTAGTTGTTTGTTAGAAGGTGTAAAGTGTTTACCTACATAATGTTATGATTTTAAGGCAATAATAAAATTAAACACATTTTTCTTTTTTTTTAAATTCTTTATACATTTCGATTTCAAATAAATGCTGAAAACAAAAGAGAAAGAAAATATTATTTATATATCTAACAACTCTCATATGATGTAACTTTTTTAGATATTTTAAAATTTATCACCAATAACCTTCATTAGTATTAATATTTATTAAATAAACAAACATTTTTGCGCTTCTAAATACATTACATTTATATATATGACAATAACAATATTATTTACAATATAAATAACTTATATATGAGATGCTGACTGTCAAATGATTTAATATTTCATTAATAATATTCTTACAATTAATAATTGTTTATTCATTTATGCCAGTGTTATTATGTTACACATTATGAGATAAATGTTTACACTTACATATTCAATACAAAAATTTTTGTTTTATTTTTGGATTAAATTATCACATCATCTTTTCTTTTTTTCTTTTCGTACTAACTTTTCGTTCTCATCATTCTCTTTCTTTCAAGCATTTTTTTTTTTTGCTTTTTTAAATAAAAAAAAAAGAAAAAAAAAGCAGCGCCGGAAGCTCATCATTTTGAAATTTGAGAACTCAGGAAAGATTAAATGGAAGTTATCATATGTATACAAATACGTGTGTATGTTCGTTCGTGTATGCGTCTGTGTGTATGTAAGCATGTACGTATATATGTATATAAATATATATGTGTGTGTATGTGTGTATGTGCGTGTGTGCGTGTGTGCATGTGCGTTTGTTACGCCTCACTGATTGCGTTTCACAATAAATAGTATGAAAATTACGAAAAATGAAGCATAATGAAAAGAAGAAAGAGTTTTGTTGAAAAGCTATATTACACATCAGTTCTTGATATTATCTATCATTCACTTAGTTGCATAAATGAATATTGAAAAACATTTCAGATTTCAGAAAAATTTTCCCATTTTTCCCTAAATTGAATTTTGATATTTGAAAAAATCCAATTAAAAAAATTAAACATCTAATATTTCTTGCCTTTACTATATCTATTACTATTATTCATTTATTCATAAAAAAAATTTCAGATTATATAAATATATTTAATATTTGCTTTATTCAATCATAAAAAAAGAAAAATAATAAATTAAATCTGATGCATTTATTAGTGAAATGAAAAAAAGTTTAACTTCGCTATTAGGTAAGTAATAGGCAATAATAGTAATAATTAACAGTAATAAAAATAATAATATTGTTAATATTAATAGTAATAAGTAATAATAATGATAATAATAATTGGTAGAAATGGTAATATAAATAATGTTGTTAATATTAATATATTGGTAATAGCAATAGTAACATTAGCATTAATATCGTAGATGCAGCACAAGCATATTTCCAATAATTGATTATTATTCAATTCCAAGTAAATAATTAAATTGTATGTAATTCAGTTCTAAATATGTTATTAGTTCTAAATAAGTAGAATAATAATTTATGTGTATTTCATAAAAATAAAAGCATATTTCCGGTGCAATTTTAAAAAAATAAAGAAAAATTAATTTTTTTCAGCATTCAATGACTGAATTTGGATGTAATTGGAATTATTGCATTCTATTAAGCAATATTTTGATTCAACTTGTAAAATAAAATTGAAGAAATGACGACAATTGAACTCATATCAAGTAAGTTTCGTCTCAACTTTTGTCATCAAATTTATTTATCTATTATTGCTCATTCTCTCCCTCTCTCTCTCTCTCTCTCTCTCTCTCGCTTTCTTTACTTCTCTTTACCTCTCACCCTATCTTTTTACTTTATGGAACAAGGAGTGCGAGAGAGATAAAGGAAGAGAGAGAAGGGAAAGGGAAAATAAAGTGCACAAAATGGAGAGCAGAAAGAAGAGTTACTTTTATAATAAAAAAACAATAAGAGTTGTTTATGCTTATATATAAGCTAAAAGAATAAATAAATTAAATTGAAAATACCTTTTCAATTTAATTATAGGAATAATTGAATAACTTTAATATAATTTAAATTATTTTTATTTCTTTGTTTTTCATATTTTTCTCTTTTGCTCATCTTTCATTCTTTCTTATTCTTTCCTCTGTTTCTTGCATAATTCCATCCTTTCTTTAAAAAAAATTTTTTTCATTCTTTCTTTTCATACTCAAACAAAAACAACTGCACTACTAAAGAACCATTTTTTAAATATTTTTAAAAAAATTTTTAACTCCTTACAAATTTATTAAGTAAAACGATAATTTCCCAAATTTCATTTATCGTTTTATGGCTGTTAGCAATGGCAAAGCATTTGATATAAATATATCATTTTCATAGAAAAATGATATATTTTTTATCTCTTTTCTTTTAAAATTTCCGAAAAATTTTTCTTTTTTGTTGCAATATATTTTTCTGTTCTCATTTTTTCCTTTTTTTAAAAAAATTTTTTTGAATTTATTGTTATTATTGTTTTATTTATATTATTATTATAATTAATACCGCTATTATTGACATTATTATTGTTACTACTATTATGTTATTGTGGAAAAAATGAGGCACAATTTTGTTGACACTATTTAAACATTCCATAAATATATTTTGCTTTTTGATCTTATCATTTCTATCGATATGATTTATTGTTATTTCTTTCTTTCCTCTTTTTTTGCTTTCTTTTTATTAACGATCCTTTTAATCTGTTGTGATCAAATCAGTGCGCTACAACAACGATGGCATAATTCGATGAAAATTTTTCCAATAATATATGCTATTTTCAAAAATAAAGTGCTATAATTTAGGCGGTTTAAATTTTTTTCAAAATTTAAGACGAAAGAGGAGGAGAAAAAGATGGATGCATTTTGAAAGTACAAATGCATTACGGATTATTATTTTTTTTAGTTCTTCCTGTTTTTTTGTTCTTTTTGTACTAATTATATGTGATTATATATTCGTTTTGAATACATGCTATTATTTTAAAGACTAAAATTTAATTCTTATTTCAAAATATAATTTGAATTCTATTTCAAATTGGTTGGATCATCCTTCTATAGTTAACTTTATTCTTGTTTCAGAACAGTGATTTGAATTCTATTCTCAGTTGATAATAAATTTTAAACCATCGATTAATCTGTATTGTATGTTAAATTTTGATTTAAATTTTATTTCTTATTTCAAAGGTTTATAGATGATTAGAATAATATCCATTCTTCGAATTTTAATTCTAGCTATCTATTGTTAAGCAATATAATCAAAATTATAATTTTAATTGCTTATTAATTTTGCTCCATTTTTTCTCACAATGCAATATTATTATTAGTTGAATTTCTAATTGTTGTATTTAATTCAAATTATAATATTTATTTTATTTTAGTGATGAAATAAGCATTTTGCGAATTTTTCAAAATACTTGTCATTTTATTAAGCTCTATTATTTCCATATATCTAGAAAAAAAAAAAAAAAACTTTTTTAAGCATAACAAAACTAAAAAAAGCAAATTTATTTTTGTTCAACTATGAAGCGTAAGATGTTTTTAAAGTTTGGAGCTTAGGTGAATTTGATTTCTGGCAAAATTTTCCTTCATCTCTACTTACTTATCTTTGCCGCCTAACTGCTAGACAATATTACTGTAAAAATAGATCAATTTGCTAATATGAAAAAGCTCAATTTAATATATAACTACTATGAGATAAAGCCTAGCGCTAAAGTATTTGATCGACTTTCAAGGCTAGAGATGTTTTATTTTCGGCTTAAGGAAATTTTGAGATTAGAGTTGTTCAACCCAATCATTAACTTAAGAAAAGTTTAGGATCAGAGATGATAGGCAATTTCAGGACAAATTTAATTTGAGTTTAAGAAGTTTTCGAGGTTAGAGATGCTCAATTCTTGGCTCAAAGAACTTTTGCAGTGTAAAAATTATGTCAATAGAAATTTGCTAAAAATCCATTGTCAGCTGTAATATTAATCTAGCTGTCATTCAAATATTTGATCAAATGAAAGGTGCAAAATACAAAATAGAAATTATTCCAATTTTTTATTTTTTTCTAAAAGAATAATAAGTACTCGTAAATAAAAAATGCCAAACCACACTTGTAAGTATAATTTATTAACTGTATTGGGACAAAAATGATTATTTTATCAAAATATTTTGATAAACAAAAGACGAGACTTTCTTTTTCTCTCATTTTAGTTAAATAAAAACGAATGAATTTTTCTCAAATTTCAATTTTCCAAATGATCTTTTGTAAAAAAATAAATCATTTCTCAGTGGTTTATTTATTTACTTCTTTTCTATACAAATTATTTACAAAAAAAAATTTTTATTGATATCTCTTTTTTTTTCTCTCTCTCTCCCTCATTTCACTAACAAATTATTAAATTATCAGTTTTATACATCGTTTCTCATTTCCTCATTTTCTTACGTTCTAATCGTTAAGAACTTGCCATCATCTTTTTTTGGTGTGTTTTAGTTTTACTATAAAAATTTTTAACTTATTTAATTATGCAAATAGTTTAAAAATATTTTGCAAAGAAAAGAACAAAGAAAAAGGATAAAATTAAAAATTTTATTGTAATTATTTGAATGAATCATTTGCTCAAACGTTTCACCCAATGGCTTCTTTAAAAAAAAAAAAAAATGTTTCTTGCTCTTTGTGTTTTTCTTTTTCAAAAATAAAAATTACTTATTTTCTTTTTTTTTTTTTCATTGCTATTCTACCAATTCTGGTAGATTTTTTCCTTTTTTGCAAATATTTGATTTTGAAAAAATGCAGTGCTTTAAACTTTATTAGAAGCATTAATAAAGAGCAATCAAGATTTTATCAAGAGTATTGTAATAGAAATTTGGTAAAACTGTTATGAGGTTGTTAAGATTTTCTAGAAGCTTTACGATAGAACAATAAGATTTGTCAAAAGTATAAAAATAGGATAATTAACTCCATCATCAAGATTTTAATGAACTCTAATTACCCTATGGCAGTACTTTTAAGAGACCTTGATTATCTTACGTCAACACTTTTAGAGCGCCATAATTATTCTGTCGTAGTGCTTTTAATAAATTTAAACTGTCCTATCGTAATACCTTTGATAGGTTTGATAGGTATTCGCTGGTAATATTTCCAGTAATTTTAACTCTTTTATCATTAGTTCGTTTTATTAATTGAAATTACCTTGATGGAATGATATGATTCTGCATGACTTATCCTAAATGTTCATTGATAATTGGAAGTAATTTGATTAGTCAATGATTGCGGAAATGTTTCCATTAATTGATTGCGTTGCAAATACTTCAATAAGTCCAATTCAACAATATGACATTTTAATTTGATCATGGGGAAAAATGTATATGTTCTATAATAGCAATTTGATTAAACGCCAAGAAATTTCTTCGTTTCTTTACAGTTTTAATTTTTCATTCCACTGAAAACATTTCAAAATACCAATTTTAATAATGTATGGGTATGAAATTTGTCATTTTTACTTTCATACAATGATTAAAATTTCTCTTTCAAACTATTACTAATTTATATTTCGAAAATATTAGCAAAATATTTCTACAGTATGGAAAATTTCCTTTTTTTCCTCAGTCTATAAAATGATTCAAAAAAAAGGTGAAATTAACATATTTTGTTGTTTAATAAAATTTTTGTTTAAAATTTCGCTTCGAAATTATTTATGCGTTATCAATTTTTTATTTCACAATAATGGAAGAAAGAGAGGGAGAGAGAGAATAGGAAAAAATGAAATTTATCCAAGTTTTTATTTTTTTTAATATACTAAATGCATAAACATTCTCTCTTAGAGCGCATATTATGCAAAGCAAATATGAAGAATTTTTTTTTGCTTTAAAATATTCTTTTTATTATTTTTTTCAAATAAAAAAAAAACTTTTTCCAATAAAGCGACGAATAATTTGTTTCAAATTTTGTTGAAATCAATAATAAAAGAGACAAGCAGCATATTTTAATGATTTTAGATGCTAATTTATGATGGTAATTTCATTTTGATTCCATTATTTCTTTTATTTATTCTGCAAAACAATTAGAAAATATCATTTTCAGGTATGACAAGCCTCACCGAGGGTTTGAAAGCAGATGAAAAAGATAGAGATATGTCGATTAGCTTTGAGGAAAAAAAATCGATGCCTGAGAATGCTGATAAAAGTAGGAAAAAAAAAAAATCTATGACAACAGAAAGAGATCAATGGTCGGGTCCACTCGATTTTATCATGTCAATGATCGCATACGCTGTTGGATTAGGTAAGATTGATAAGAAAGAGTAAAAGTGAGATAAAGATATATTACTAAGTTAGATATTAATTTATTAATAATGTTAAGTGTGTGATTTTAGAAAAAGCAAATAAAAATTTTTTTGGGTTTTTTTTTAAAATTTTTTTTAGAATCTCGAAATAAGTAAAAATTTTTCAAATGTCACAGATATATATTTGGAGGAGAATTTCAAATAAACCAAGATATACTTTTATTTTGAACAATGTTGCTATTTATTCATGATTTTAAGTTATCATATTTATGAGCAATTATCGTATTAAATGAATGAAAAGTCAGTATTGATGTAATAAAATTATTAATTTTTTCAGCTAACTTTTTACAGAAAATACCAAAGGGATATTTATTTTGCTGAATATATGTTAAACAGTTTTCCTTTTTTAAATTAATTATTTGAGAATTTTTTAGGCAATGTATGGAGATTTCCATATTTATGTTTTAAAAATGGCGGTGGTTCGTTTTCTTTTATTTTTATTTTCATTTTTTCTTTCTTTTTTTGATGATCATTTATTATTTTTATTTTATTTCATATTCCAATAATCATTTTTTGATAATCGAATTTGATGTTTAATTTTAACATAATGAATAAACATTTGTGAAATAATTTGATGAATTGTTTATTAAAAAAAGTTTTTATGATTTTTTGTTAATTTGACAGGTTCATTCTTGGTTGTTTACATAATATTTTTCTCACTTGGCGCATTACCTGTGTTTATTATGGAAATTACAATAGGGCAGTATGCACAACGTGGCGCTATGGAAATTTGGAATTTATGTCCCTTATTTAAAGGTTAATCAAATTAATATTGTAATCAATTGTAATTATCATATTTTCATCTGATTCTTTGTACAGGTGTTGGTATCGGTAATGTTGTGATTGCATTTATGTGCATCGCATATTTTTGCGTTATATCAAGTTGGTCCATCTTCTATATGATCAATTCGTTGTCATCAGTCTTTCCATGGGAGACATGCAACAACTGGTGGTAAGTTATTCGTTTTTCATTATTCGTATTTTTGTAATCTGTCTTGGAGGATACGGTAACTTTTTGAATGTTCAATTTATCATAATTTATCATAACCTATCCCGGTGCATACGGTAACTTTTTATTATTTACTTTGTCGCTGTCCATCGTAATGAATACGGTATTTTTTTGATAGGTCTTACTATTATCACCTTTCTCGATGCATATGTTTAATATTTTTAATCTATATTTTGCTGAATGATTGATATATGTTGGACATTTTTTCCATCTTTTTAATTAGTTATTTAAAACTTTTTTAGGTAATATATGGAAATACATGTATGTGCATTTTTTTCATGTATTTATTTAACTTCCTTTAAAGTTTTATTCGTAATTTTTCTCAGGAATGATAAAACTTGCATAACTGGACGTGAAGATGCAACAGTGATATCTGAAATTATTGCAAATTTGTCCAAATATAATTTAACTACTGAAACGAGCGTTGAGCAATACTGGGAGTTAGTTGAAATATTTCAACTGCAAGCTAACAGAATTTTAATAAATTACTTCTTTTTTTCCTTTTCAATTTAATATTTCATATTTTTGATAGCATCCAAATATTGATTTAAATTGCTAAATGCATCTTAAAAAAAATTAATTCTTTTTTTGTTTTGCAGACGACGAGTGCTGATGCAAACCGATTCGATATCAAGCTTTGGTGGAATTCAATGGGAGCTTCTCGGAATAATGACACTGTCATGGATCATCGTGTACTTCGCACTTTGGAAAGGCATTACACAAGCTCGTAAGGTAAACAAGATCAAAAAAAAGAGAGAAATTAATTAATATTACTAGAGAAATCTGGCATAGATAATAAAAATATAAAATATTATTTTCTTCTCCCTCTGCTTGTATTACATCTTTAATGATTTAGGTCTTGTGATCGGTGTTAAATTAAATAAAAATATGCTGCAAAATAAGTACTGTTTTCTCAAAATTTTAAACAAATTTCAATTTATGTACGAACTTTTCAGCGGAGTTGTTTCACAGGATTACGTAATGGCCTATTTTGCATTTTTTTCGGCCAAGCAATTGCTGATTTTCTGGTACTTTTCCATTTCTAGAATATTAAATTAGGACAAATGTACGGTTCGTTGTAATAAGCAATAAGTAGTAAGGTAGTTTAAAAATTAGCACGCAAAAATGAAAAATTTACTAATAGTTAAAGCAGTTTTTTTTTTTTTTTTTTTATTTTATAGGAATATTTGATCAATTTGACAAACAAGAAAAAAGTTTTTTTTTTAATTTTTTTGAATTAGTTAAGAGAGGACAGTTTGTAGCAAGCAATCTGAGCTGCTGGACACTAAGCATTCCATTCATTCATTCATTCGGTATTGTTCAACGCACGCATACAATATATAGCCGACGAATTTATTGATCCTCTAAACAATTTGCCAAAGATGGCAGGTAACTTTTGAGATTGAGTTTTTTTGGAAAAGAAAAAAAAAAATCACATTTATGAAAAAAAAAAAAATGAAATTGAAGACATAAAAGACATATCATAAAATAAAAATCCTGTGATTACATTTAAGAAAAAGGATCAATGATAGTTATCAATTAGTGAAATATTTTTCGAAATCGCAACATTTCATTTCTTATCTGCAACTATCTTCGTCACCAATTTATGGCTGTAAAAACGAAATTTGAAAAAAAAAAAAAAAAATAGGCTGTCACATTTTTTTATACGTATGTACGTGCTGTATGTGTGCATGTGTGTGAATATTTTGAAGTTTTAAATTTCGTGAATGTTTGAAATATTGCCGAGCGTCAATTGAATTTAAAACTCCTCGAGCACTATAAAATTTTTCTTAACAATAAAATCATAATTTTTTTTTCCTTTTATAGGAAATAGGATGAAATATTCTAATTCCAATAAAATATATTTTAAGGTGTTAATGTTAATAATGATAGAAACATAGGGCAAAATAACAATTCTGGGACGCTTAATTGAATCATAAATAGAAGAGAAATAAAGGAAAAATAATTGTTGATATTAAGATTTGGTATCTTTTTGATAACAAATCATTGATTTGTACATGAATAGATGTAACACGTGAATAGATATACTTCACCAAAATTGTTTTTGTTTAAAATGAAAAAAAGAAATGGTACACCTAAATCATTTTCATCAGAAGTTCATCTTGAAGGATAATGGATTCTAATAACTTTAGGAACTTCTAATTTACGGCGACGTTTGCTTTCAATCAATTCTTTAAATTATATGTTCAACTAAATATATATTCACATTCAACTACATGTTCTCATTATCATTTTTAAATCTTTTGAAAAGTATAGTAAGTGATTCAAAAATTTTTGAAACAAAATATTCAGCATTTCAGCGATTACAACTCTATCTTACGATAAACAATTATAGTTTTCCTTATTGTTATGGTCTGTCTTACGGTGCAATTATACTTCTTGTTTTTTTTCCTTTTTCTTCAATTTTTCCAATATTTTTAACAGATCCAATATTCATTCATTATACAAAGAATTACTTACTAGGAATTTGGCCTCTTGCACTTATTATAATTTGATTAACGCTTGAAATGTTCATAAATTTTGGCAATGATTATTTTCAGAGAAATCTTTGATATGTATATTTATATATTTTTTCCGCATATTCTTCATCTTTTCAGCTTCAGAATTATACATTCTCTTCAGCAATTTAGCAACAATTTCGAATCATTATTTAAAAAAAAAAAAAAAAAAAAGGATTATCTATTTTTTTCTTTTTTTTTTTAAGGAAATGGAATAGACATTTAAATTGTTTAAAAAAAAACACTTTTTTCTATTGCAGTTTGTGTATTTTTGCGCGTTATCACCGTATTTCATGCTGGCAATTTTGCTTGTTCGTGGTTTAACATTGCCGGGCGCTGAAGTTGGCATTTATTTTTACCTAACACCTAACGCAACAAAATTATGGGATATTACGGTATGGAAAGATGCTGGCACTCAGGTATACATCATCATAACTCGCAATCATCATCATTATTACCACTATCGTGATCAATATCACCATCATTATTACCATTGTCATCCAATGAAATCATCATCCTCATCATCATAATCTCGTATTTTAAATTAATTTATATGAATTATTTTTCCTACTTTTTCTGCTAACCATAAGTGTGGCATCACTTTTCTCAAACATTTCAAAAAGTTGAACTTTATTTTCCACAATAAGAATGCAACTGCAATTGTTTCAGCATGAGTTACTGATACAAATGGATTAATAGTATTATTTTGCTATTATTCTAAGTTTTAATCTTATTCCTAGCGCAACAATTTATCTAATACAATTAATATAGCAGTAATGGTTGTACATGAATAAGTATTCTGAAAATGTTTGCTAATATCATAAATAAAATAGTTATATCTGATAGATCAATCAGTGTATCACAGCTATTATCTGTTGTGATTATACCTTACACTTTCATCTGTTTTGATGGATAGTTCATGTTCATCTTTGTCCACCTGTTATTCTTTTTTAATGGACGATCAGTACTCTCTCTCTTTGCATCTTTTTTTTTTCATTTATTTTTTTCTCTTCTTCTCCCCAATAATCCGTCCATGAAGACAATCTTCATAAATTTTTTTATTCATCAAATTTTAAAAATCATAATCTATCAATAAATATTTTTTGATTTGCTTGAAAGATAAAAATAAGCATGGTAAATAAAAATAAATAACAACAATAGCGAATAAAATTAACAATAAGCAATAACAAATAACAATAGCAAATAATAATAATATTAATATCATTAATAAATAATAATGGTGATAATTATAATATCAATAGTAACCAATAACATTAAACTAGTAAATAATGATATTGCAATATAATATCCAACCTTCACTTATTTTCAGGTATTTTACTCATATGGAGTAGGATTCGGGACACTGATTGCGCTGGGATCGCATAATAAGAAATCTCATAATTGCTTCAGGTAAATATAATAATAGTAATAGGAACTAGCAATAATATCACAAAAATGAAAATTCAGATTATTGTCACTAAGTTTTTTAATAATTTTTTTTTTCTTTTTGAATTTTATCGTCATTCTTTGCTTGATGCATTGTCAATTTTGACTTATGCATTATTTATGCATTGTCAATTTTGAAAAAAATTTTTCAATTTTTTCAAAAATGAAAATTATTTGCAGAGATGGGTTTATTATGTGCATCATAAATGGATCTACAAGTTTAATTGCTGGTAAATCTGATAGAATTTTGTTTTTTTTTTTTGTTTTTTTTTTTGTTTTTTTTAGAATATTCTATTTTTTCTATGCTTAGATTATAAAAGTATAAGGAAAGGAACAAATAATCCATATTCATTCCATATATATGACTAAGCAAGCACTCATATAGGAAAGATATAAATTTACTCTTTTAATTACTTTTAGCCAGTGTTAACAGCGTTGGAATAATTCTTGTCAATATTAAACTTTGTCCTTATCTTTGCTCTAAAGCTATTTCCCTTAGCTTATGCAACACAATTCTGAAATCTCTTTTCCGGCCTACAAAGATTTCTTATAAAGCTAGATAAGTGTATGTTTGAAGTAGTAAGCAATTCAGTAATAATAACTGAATTATACAGTGTTTTTTTAGGCTTCGTTGTTTTTTCCATCCTTGGCTACATGTCGGTTATTGTTGATAAAAATATTGCTGAAATTGTTAAACCAGGTTTCAAATCTTTCTCGTCTAATTAATTTAAGTAAATTCGTAGCATTTTAAAAGAACAATTGCATCACATCGGAGACATAGACGATCAAATCATTTGGCTAAAATGACAATGAACTACCATTTATTTTTATATGAGTAATTTTTCGAATTCAAATGTAACATTAGCTTAACTGATAAGTCATAAAATTTAATATTCCATTACAGGACCAGGTTTAGCATTCTTAGCATATCCCGAAGTAGCCAGTAATCTTCCTCTTAAACAACTTTGGTCCATGTTGTTCTTCTTGATGATTACAATCCTTGGCCTAGATAGTCAGGTTAGTAATTTGTAAGTGCATTCCATACCGTAAATATTTCAAACAATAAAAATTAGCACAATTTAATGAAATTTCAGATTTGCATGTTGGAAGGTTTATACACCGCCCTTGAAGATGTTTTCCCACATTTTTTACGCAAATACAAGAAAACTTCACTTGCTTTTACTTGTCTGTTCTTCTTCATTCTTGGCATCCCAATGGTTACTTACGTAAGATTTTAAATAACTAATGAAATATTTTAAAAGGAAAAATTATTCATAATGGGTGTTCTATACTAATATAATAACATTCCTCTGCAAACAATATATTTGTATTTTATTATAAAAAGATATGTTTATATTTTGAGACATCTTCATGTTTTCCAAAAGTCCTTTTTCAAAAAAGAAAAAAACTTCTTAACAGTTCAACTTCTATTGCAAATTAAACAGATTTTCATACAATAAACAGACCTTTTTGTTTATGTTTATATACTTAGGCGAATTGTGCTCATACTGTAGAAAAACCAATTTTATACTGTAGGTTAGTATAGTTACTGTGAAGATTTCAATGTGTACATACTGTAGGTAGATTAGATTCCAATATTTTTATTATTATATTTGATATTTATGTTGTAAATTGTGATTCCTGTGGCAAATAAATTTATGCTTACTTAGCATATGTGCATTAAGCAGATTTTCATATGCGTATACTGTAAAGATCGTTGTTTATACTGTAGGTAAATGACACTAAATCACACCATTTTGGGTGAATCATTTTCATTGTTTAGATAAATTATAATATTTATATTCTAAGACATAATTCCTATAGCAGTTAAATTGGTGCGTGTAAACTATAAATAAATTTGTTTGTCAAATTAAACTTAGATGAATGAAAATGATCAAATCAAAATCAGATCAAAATAAATTGAGAATAAAATTAAAGGCTGGCTCATATTGGCTTACTCTATTTGATGCATATGGTGCTAGTGGTATTGCATTATTATTTGTCGTATTTTTTGAAGTTACTGGACTTTCATGGGGATTTGGTAAGTAATATGTTAAATGATATTTAATTAATAGATAATGTTTAATGTACTTCATTCTAATGAATTATATATTAATTATTATTTATTTTTTGCACTCAATTTATTTGTATTTTTTGGCCTGTTTTTAGGAGCACACAAAGTACGTAATGCTTTAAAAGAAATGATTGGTGTAGAACTTTGGGCATGCTGGATTATTGTTTGGAAATTCATTACACCGTTTGTTACTGCTGTAAGTCTTTTTTTGCTTACTAAATATTATAGTTTCAGTAAATTTCATATTGTAACAAACAAACATTATTTATGTCATTTTTTATGTTACTAATTCAAGTATTTTAATTCATGTGAAGTTTTACAACTTACGCAAAATTTTTATTTAATTTTTAGCAGTATAGTCTTTTTGTATTATATTCTTTTCAGTGATTAAGTATTTTCAATCTTTTTAAAATTACGTAACTTTGTGTTGAGGTTCGAAAAAAAGAGTTCGGATTTTTTCTCATATTTGAAATTTTTGATTTCTTGTTTCTTTTTGCCGCTTCTTTTTCTATTCTTTCCTTCGTATCAAAAAAAAAAAAGATTAATTGATTTTTTAGGTTTTGTTCTTCTTCTGTATTTACAAATATCAACCGTTAAAGTATCCTACCGGAGAAAGCTTTCCGGTTTGGGCTGAAATATTTGGATTTTTTTTATCTTCTTGTTCTATGGTTGTTATACCAGGGTATGCAATCTATTACCTTTTTTCCAGCAATCTCGACAGTTCCACCAGTGAAGTTTGTTTTTTTTTATTGTACTTTCATGTTAACTTTTGATCTTGATAAATTACATTACTGTAATTATCATTCTTATTGAAATCTTCTCTATGATTAATTATTGTATTCAAAAAAAAGACAAGTTTAATTAGTGTTTGAAATAAATCTTTAATTTTGAGATCATTTAACATTTCTTTAGCCTATTTTCAGCGTTTAAGACGTGGTTTACATCCACCATCTGATTTAGAAACCGGATTGCCACCATCACTTGCTTTTGAGCAGCAAGATGTTGATATGGAATATATTGATTGCGATTGTGCAAAACAATTGTAATTTACATCAAATTATAATTACATCCTTTTTAATTTTTAACTAATAAACATGTAAATATTTTTGCTTGAAGGAATTCAAAAATTTTTATTTGACAATATTACTCTGAATAAATTTTCCGATAATTGAATGAGATTTTATTATTAAAATTCTAAATCGATATATTTCTGATCACTATATGCGTCTTCATCAATTTTCAGTTACTTCCATCATCCTTATCACCTTATATCTTTATTAGTTTCAGAATATATTTCAGAAATGTAATTTTTCTTCTTTTTTCATCTATAATAAGCTAAAAAGATAAACTAGCAATTCTTAAAGAAAAAAAAAGTAATTAGTTTGCTTTGATTTTTTCAAAGAAAAAGAAAAAAATTAACTAGTCGATCAAACTAGCAATAACAAAAAAAGAAGGAAAAAATTAGTGGAAAGAATACAAAACATTCGTTATTCGCTAAAAAAATAAAAATGAATAATTAGTCTATCAAATTGCAAAACAAAAAAAAAAAAAAATCATAATTGTATAGCATTTCATTATTTTGTTCTTTTTCCAATAGCTTTGTACAATCGCAATTAGTTGATATTTTAAAAAAGAAAACAAATTTCCAATTTTAATCATTATTATTCAAATTTTAGCAATAAAAGTGATAGCAGTTATTAATAACCTGCTTTTGAAAAACTTAATTTTGATCAGCATATCAATTATTATTGTATATTTCGATAATTGATCAGTAATCAATAATCTGTTTCTTAATAATTCGATTTCAATAAGCATATCATTTATTACTATCATCAAATATTTAAAAAATTTATCATTTCCTTATTAGTATATGCCTTTCGGTTCATTTTTTATTTTTTATTTTTTTACATAGTTAATCAGAATTAAATAAAAAATCTGACTACTCGAGTAATCATTTATTATATATATATATATCAAATAATTTGCTGTAATGAGCCACCGGAATTCAATTCTGCACCATAATTTTAAACTCCAAAAAAATTTTTATTGTTTTATTTTGATCCATTTTTTCAATTGGATATATTTTTTCTTATTGAAATTTTACGATTACATCTGTTATCGCTTGTAGTTGTGTATAGAATTCTAATCCATTGTATATTTATCATTCATATCATTTTCTTTCTTTTTTAAAAGTAAAATCAATTAATTTTTACTTAAAATTTGTAGTTTAAAATTCAAAGAAGTGCTGTATTTTTCATTACATCTTTTATGTTAGTTTCATAAATATATAATAAATTACAAATATTTCTTATTCTTTTCTTTTTTAAATAAATCATTAAACAAATAAGCATTAAAATGAGGATTTTTTTTTTTGAAAATACAATTGCTTCAGTAGTTAAAAATTAATTGCTTGTCAACATGGTATGAAGAAAACTGGAAATGATTTGTGCGAAGACAGTTATTAATTGATTTAATAAGTTGGATATAAAAAAAAAGACGAAAGGAAAGAGACACAAATGTGTAAAAAAATTTGCAGCATTTTTTTATTGCATATTTAACTCTTAATTTTTCTATTTTTCAAGAAGGCAAAATAAAACTTTAATTTTCAAAACTTTTTGTGTAAATCTTATCGAGAATTAAAATGTTTCCAATTACCAAGAATTTAATAACACTTACATGATCTCCTAAAATTATCTCTCTTTTAAGTTGCCTTATGTGATTCCATACTGCAATTATTCAATTTTAATTGAATTAGTACTGTTTTTTTAGTCAAAACTTAGCAACTGGTTTTACGTGGCTTAACAATTAACAGTTAACATACATTAAGATATTTGAGTAAGGTTTCCATTCACAATTATCTTTTAGAATCAATATTTTAAAGCCAGTTTTGAAATTTCACTCAGAAACTTCGTTACTTAGAAAAACTTTAGATAACTTTTCAATGATAAATTCAATAAATCTGAATTGAAACAGAGAATTAATCCAAAATTGGAAACAAATGAGAAAGCTTATGCTGATAAAAAATTTGCACAAATATCATGAAAATGATTAAATGATTCATTAAATTCCAGAACAGAAATGCAACAAAAGATATCATAGCATGGCAATTCCTATCACAACTATTATCATAGAATTATCAATATTAAGAAGACTAAATAATTTTAGTTAAGTAAAAAATTTTGCATTTAAAGATTTAAATGATATTCTGATTCTAATATGATCCTGATATGATGGAGGAAAGACGAATGAAACTGATGGGTTTAAAATTTTTAATTAAAACTTTAGTGATAACAATGATATTCCAATTTTCAATGCATAAAATTTGCTAATACCACTGAGAATGATTTATATTATGAATTGAGACCAAATAATTAAGCTCCATTTGCATTTTGCACAAGAAAAAAACCCAATTCCTATGGATTATTTTGATGAAATTAAAATGATAGTGTGGATACTTTTTGAGGATTTTTTCGCATGCTTAAAGGATTCTTTTGGTTTTTTTATATTAATTGTTAATAAAACTATTCCGTTAATACCATAATTTATGATAGTGAGAAAGATTGCGTTTCTTTTATCAAGAGTTCAAATTGAAAACTTTGTTCCAATTCTGAATGAATTTCCTGTACTGAAGAACAATTCAGCATATTCACAGCCAGATATGGTTGAAAAGGTTTTATCATATCAAATAGATACAATTTGAAAGCAATCGCTTATGATTAGCAGTGTGCACTACTTATTTCAGTTCACTGCAAAGTAATTGTTACGGAAAAAAATAGTACTTTAATCCACATAACATTTACATCAAAGCCGAATGAATGCCTATAAGAAGTTGTGCTGAAAATTATTTCAACATGATTACATTCTCAACAAAAATAAAAATAATTAAATTGAAAAACTGTTAATTTCCAATTTGATCATTCTCATCCGGAAAAAAAAAAACCCTATTCTTATGAAAAATTTTCAAAGTTATAGCTGGCTAAAACATGCAATTGATATTCTAAAGAAATTAAGAAAGATAAACATAATCACATCTAGCACTGATAAATGTTACTAACTACATAGAAAATGAAAAAATTAAGCAAGATTATTGTTTAATGAGAAAAAAAGTACTTCCTTCTTGCCATGCTTCTGTTTGAATTGATGAGGTTCTATTCGCTTCAGTATAGCAGCTAGCTTTTGTACTATTTCTGATTTTTCCATATCACCACATTTTGACTTAATTTTAGAAAGCAATTCTTTCGTTGTATGAGGTTTCCTGCAAAATATAACTCGAATTATTGAATTATTGAATACATAAGAAGAGAGGAAAAATCACTGAATTCATTTTTCCTATTTTATTCCGTTTGAAATTAGAAAAGACTGGTAAATGAAACATAATATTCACTAACTCACAGCAAAATATACAAATGAGCAATCGAAAAAGCTATTACCTTCGAAGATACCGTCGCACAGTTTCTTCATTTAGACTATCCTGATTTGTTGTCGATTGTGTGGGTGATAATGATGGTGCAGTAAACCTACACAGTTTAAGAAGATACAATTTTATAAATAACACTAATGTAGAAAAAATAAAGACTAAGATTTTCTCAATCAAAAAGCTTCCATTTTAGAAGGAAACAAGTAGGCTTACGCTTGTTCGGTCTTGATCCTTTTCACCTCATTGTCTGCGAAAGATACATTTTCTAGTGGTCTTTTTCTTGTTGATGATTGTGGTTCTTCCAGAGTTTTTTTCTGCAAATTTTTACAGAAATTTGAGAAGAATATAACCTTAAAAAGGAAAAAAAAGACTTACCACAGGTAGGAAAATTGCAGAGTTAATTTCTTTATCAGGATCATCCGAGTCGCTACCTGATGAATCTAAAAAATTTCGTTAGCAGATAAACTGAACCTAATAAAATGTTTGTCACTTTGACTTCATATTTAACCTTCATTTCAATTTAACAGTTGATCCTCTTAACAAAAATAGAAAGTGTGCTTCTCCTTTTACTCTTTCCCTAGTTCGGAACAAAAAATAACTGTAGGAAATTTCAAGTCAGTGTATGTTAACATTGCTGTTTTCTGTAGAGAAAGGATAAAAATAATAAAGTAAACAATATTTCATACAAAAAATGAACGAATAAACTTTTAATGATAACTTGCCTCTTTCATCGACATCAATAAACTGCTTCTTTATCTCATCGCCATCGTCATCTTCCACAGCGAAAAGAAGTTTTTTGGCTGAAATTCCAATTTTGAGTTGTTAAATTTTTGACTTATTCAAATAATACATATTTTTTTAAGAAAGCAAATAATTTAAATGTTATACGTACTGGTATCATCCATATCACTACTGTCGGTATCAGAAAAATCATCACCAATTAACTTTTTCAGACCTGTTTCATCACCTACGGCAACCATTGCCTCATCCACCTTCTGTTCCATAGGTACCACATCTCGGCTGAAAATATCATCGAAATAAAGCTAAACTATACACTGTATGGTTTTACTCCATAGAAAAGAAATAAACCTCATGGTAGTAAAATACTGAGTCCAACGACACTTACATTTTAATAATTTAAAATTTCCTCTTGTAAGTCCCATATGAAAATTTCATCAAAATGAAGTAAAATGGAAATATAGCAAAAGTGAAAAAACAACATCAATGAATAAAGAGGAGTACTGATCAAAACTATCAAAAATTTAATCAAATTAAATGAAACAATGAAAAGTTGATTCGGATGGATTGCTATATTTAATAACATGAATATGAGTATAAAAAATGAATAAGTAGAAATATTAAAATATATCTCTTGTGCAATTTCCACCATCTAGAAAATCATCAACCCTAAATCAACTTAATATTCCATCGCTTTACTTTAATTACTTCTCATGTTGATATTACTCTAATTACTTTTTTAAAACTGTAATTTAATGGCCTTATTACTATATCAACTCTCATTAAATCAATATAGCTCGAAAGATCTTAACGATGAAATAAGATGAGTAGACTAATCAACAGAAAATATAGAACACAAGCACATATATGTGCACTTATATCATTATATACAAATAACTTTGTATATAATCTTTTCAATATATACATAATGAAATTTCTTTTTTTCAAAAAATATAGCATTTTAAGCAGAAAGCACTGGACAAATAATTTATTATCAGTATGTATACTTTATTATTAGCATGGGAAAAGCAAATATATGGAATGCTTTGTTCAAAGCAATAATAACACGAATAATATCGGTGGATTTAAATAATGAACTTTAACCTGTGATGTCATACGTATGCATTATGAATAATTCAATAGCAACAATGTATCCAGATCTAATAATACTTGAATTCTAGGAAAAAATAAAACATATGCATAAGATTTGATACAACGCTAGCACTATTAGTGCACTGCTGAGAGAATACTCATCACACTTGCCGAAATGGTCTTAGAGACAGTAAAAAAAAAAAAAAGAATATGGAGTTCAAAAGAAATACGACTATATTTCACTCGTTTTGGGATTTATTTAAATTTAATATATAAAAGTGTGCAAGAAAATGATCTGTCAAACCTAAACCCTTAAATCGATAATCTGGATAAAAAAATAAGTGGAACATAAAATCACACAAGTTCTTATAGTTTGACTTCCTCTTTAAGTAAATAGAAGAAAAATAAACAACGGAACATACAAGCATGAAGAAATGTAGTTCCAATTTGTAATCTCAAAGAATTAATTAATGCATCGCAATTTCCCTAAAATATTGATAGAAAAGTGTAAAAAGAGAAAAGAAGGCAAGACTGAAAAAAATAAACATCAGTGACTTAATGAAGAAAAATTTTTGGCATAACTTGGAATAATAAACAATGGGACGTTCAAGGGATTCTAAAACATAAAATGAAGTACTTTGAGTACTGCTTGGTCACTTAAGCATTTTTCTCTCCCGTATTTAAGTTTTTTTACAGTCTTAAGTTTACGATTCTTCAACTAAAACTGATAAAATCGAAACTTACTCGCTTTCTGAACCACTATCACTCATATAGTCATATTCTCGACCCTCATCATCACCATCATCACTTTCATAAGCTGCCACCTCATCCGCATTCTCCACTCGCTGTCTCTTATCTTTTCTGGCCCGAGTAGTAGGTTTTGAGTTCTAAAGTAAAAACTTGTAGATAAAAATTTTGTACCTTCGGCTAGTATTATATGAATCACAATTTGTTTTCCAACTTGATTCAAAATCGAAGCATTAAAACGAGTTCTTCTAAAAATGAATTCACTAGCTTTATTTTAAATCTTCAAGTTGGGTAAATGAGTAAATTTCACCTTTTTCGGTTTTGAACTTCCGACAGGAGCATCATCTTCGTCGTCTCCTTTCTCGCCATCAGAATTCTCATCCGAACTGGCTTCATCTTTGATTTTCTGAAGAAGATTAAGTGTTTTGATCCGAAGCAGTTGGAAATAAACAATATAAAAATGCAGAACTTACAAGCGACTTCGTTGTTTTTATCATTTGTTCGCCATCTTCATCCATAGCTTTCAATTGCTGCTGTATCTGGGCTTTAAGAGCAAACTGATTCATAACACGATTTCGTCTAAAAGCGCAATTTCTTTTAGCTTTTTTCGTTTATTTTTGCCATCAAAAGAATTCATAAGTATAACAGAAACAATCCATGACTTCGCTAATAAGAATGTCTTCATTTTCGGAAAAATTTTCAGCTTAAATATATGCTCACTATCAAAATTAATGAGTTTGATCACTCACTGAAACATGTTTGGTACTAATAATACATGGCTGAAAGGCAGCGTAAGACCAGTTTATCCCATCAAATTGGAGTTTTCAATCTTCAAAATTTAATTCATAAACCATATAAGACACTAATATTCATTTAAACTGCACATAAAAATGAAAGAAGCTTACTCACGAAACCGTTCTTCTGCTTGATCAATGTCAAGAGTTCGATGAGTCGAAAATGGCATAAATTGATACCACTCATCAACTTTGTAAGCATGAAATTCTTCTCCCGATTTCAAAAACACCCAATAGTCTGCATGTTCCCCTGCTCCGCCTTCACGAATGCTACGAAATCTGCGTTCCTTAGTACCTGAAAACTTCGGAAGAGTTAGTCAAAAGAAAAAGGTAAAACAAGAGTTTGAACTTGAATATGAATATGAAAACTGACATCGATAAAAAGCGAAGACACTAGAAAATAAAACAGCACATTACAATGGACATATCAGAAAGTAAGAATAATTAATATGTAAGATAAGACAATAAGAAAGAAAAATATACTTGGGTCTGTAATACTTAACACCCAGGGTTGATTGTCATGCTGGTAGGTCTGAAATTGACGGCCGTATTTCTTGCGCCGTGCCTCCTCTCGCAACGCTTTACCATATTCGGAGCCTTCTCCATAATCCTATAGGAACGGACTTCTACTAATTTTAAACATCTTAATTTAACATGTCAAACTAAAACAGCTACGTATTCACTCTAACTTCCACTTTTTTAAAAAAAAAAAATATTTACTAAAATCCTTTGGAAAAATCCACATTCTTTAGGCCTCTCTAAGCGATAACAAATATCGCAAGGTGTTTAAAACGATAATTTCCTTGCAATACAACCTGCCGGATTTCATTTACAGCTGCTTGTTCTTTATTATCTTCACGTGCCATTCGTATACTGTAATCAGCCATTGCCCATTTTCCTGGATCAATTTTTAAAGTACCATTGAATTTCAAAACTGAATAACGTCTAGACCCATTTCGTCTGTAAAAAAAGTAAAAAAAAAAAACTAAAAATTTCTTAATCAACGAGGAACTGAAGATGAAAAAGCTAATCCAGTGTATAGTTTAATAAAAACTAAACAAGAAAATATTCCACTACAATATTTAACAACGAATTTATCAACCATGTAATAAGTTTATTAAAGGTTACTTGGGAATACGCACGGTATACTGTTTCGGTGTTGCAGGTGTCGCCATCTAGAAAGAATTAGATTCAAAACAATGAGATATAATGCCCACATGAATAGCAATAAACTTATAAGAAACAACTTTACCCATCTATTTTCCTCACATTCTCTATCCTTTACATCATATTATTTCTCTTTTCTTTCTCTTCTAGGCAACTTCAATCTTATAAAATTAAAAAAGTCTAACATAAACAATTGGCATTTAAACCAGATGCTTTTAAAGAAAAGTGGAGTACCAACAAAAGAACTTCATCGGTATTTACAGTGATAACAAGTTTTAACGTTCCACAAAAAAATTGAAAGACTGAAAATCAATACACATCAAAGGTTCATTTCCTTGAACTAAACCATATAAAAATTATAAAAAAAAAAGAATAATTCAATTCATACGTTTAACGAGTACAAAAAGAATAAACTTCAACAATAACACCTTGAAGGCAAACGCATATAAAATTGTATAAAAACGTATAAGAAATCCATAACAATGTTGAAAGCTTCTAGCTTTAATAAAAGTGGCGAAATCACAAATATTCTTATACTGTCGTAACACAAAATCATAAATTTTTTTTTTTTAAAAACGAAATCCAAATTAAATGTAAGCCCAACTAGACTTCAAAACCATCTTTTTTTCTTATTTTCTAACATTTCACGCTTGAAAACCTTAAGTTTAATAACCTTCGCTATCTCCTGAGCAGAACGATTCTGGCCTGAAACAAACGTGAGGAATCAACTAATAAGTAGGGAAATGAGAGAATACGACAAAGCGGTAAAAAAAAATCTCCATAAAAAAGTGAAAAGGGTGGAAGAATTATTAAAAATACATTGTTAAGGAAAATGACTTTTCAAACTGTTGGCTGGAACCATTCATCATAAAAGAAAACAGCTTACCATAATAATCATGAAAATCACCATCTGGATCCATTAGATACATGATGACAGTGTGGTCAACAATATAATCATTTCCGTCTATTTTAGGCCCTTGGCTGTAGTAGACGCGAAATGCCTTTGCCACTTTGGCGACCTGAGAGCAATATATTTTCATTTTGCCATTTCGTTTTTTAAAATAATCAATTAATTATCATAATGAAAACTGAAATATTTTACTTGCTCCTTTGAACCAGTGTAGCCTTTTATTTTGGGAGAAAATTCTGCGCAGTACTTCTTCACTCGTTCAACTGTGTCACGTTCAGGATCTACTGATATAAAAACTGGGATTACTCTGATTTTTTCTTCACTTTTTTCAAGGATTTCCACAACCTAAAACTTACATAATCAGAATGATACACCGACAAAACAAAATCAACAAAATGAAGATGCAAAACTTTTCTTTAACAACTTTTTGTGAAAAAATGAAAAAAAAATAAAAAAAAATGACCTCAACCATTTTTTCAATAGAATCTGGACAGACATCAGGGCAATGTGTGAAACCAAAATACAACAAAAGCCAATTTCCTTTAAGCCGTTCGGAACCCCCTAACTCACCATTCACATCAACTAATTCCCATGGACCACCAATTCGAGCTTTACCGATAGTCTGCTTCCTTTCGCTCTCTAGTTCTCTCATTTTCTGCAATGTATTATTGGATTTTCGAGATGATTTACATGATATGATATTTGTTTACTTCGAAGAAATAAAGTGAGTCTACTGTTATCGATAACAAACTGTTTAAAAGAAAGAAACATGGTATGCCTACCTTTTCTCGCAAACCTGATAAGATGATAACTAAAATAACACTGACACCAACAATAATCATAGCCAGTTTTCCTGTGAAAATTTCTCGAATTGCTTTCTTCTGCAAAAAAAGATTTTAAGAAAAGCATTAACTTCCTGCTTTGTTGTGTATCTTGGTCAAACGATATGAAATCTGTCACGTAAAATGTTAAAATATGACAGCCAAACCTACCTGCTCCCTTAACTTTAGGATGGTTTCCTTATGATTTATTGACTCTTTTTTTTCATCTCTTTTTAAAGCCTCTTCTAAATCTGCCATATCCACTTTCAAATCGTCACTTCGCACTGCTTTTTCTAAAAGAACTAATGTAATTCCATGCCTTAATAACACCTTCAATTTCCAAAGAAATTCAATCAGATAATACGAATAAAGTGAGCAAATAACTTTGCTTCATTAATCACCGCTGCGTTTTAAATAGAAAAATAATACTAAGGAAAAAAACGCAACGAGTTATAGTTTGTCCGTCAAAAAAATACAAATATGCTAAATTTCTTGTAATTTAATCACATAAATGACAAACTTTTATCATTGACATTCTCACTGTCAATAGCTGTTAAGCGTAGTGAATTAGTAGCATGAAGAAAACATTTCCTCATACAGTAACACTGATGAGATGAATTGGACGGTGATAATCGAGAGAGAACAGCACATGTTACACGAAACATCTGAAGTTGTGCTAATTATGATATCATATCGTGAAACGTAAATCAGCGTAACGAATTCCATTAATATATATAATATAAGTCAAACTGAGAATGCAACGTATTGCATATATCATTAATAATGAATATTAATTAGTTGATAAACTGACGGACGAATGTTACTTTTCCACGGGAATACAATCAATTATATAAATATGTAAAATAACGTAAATGCTTAACATTAATAAATAGGTAAAATACGATAAAGAGGAATAAATGTTATTTTCTGATGGAACATAACCAATTATATGAATAGGTGAATAAGATCGCAAATAAATAAGTAACAAATAAGTAAGATCGACGAATAAAGCAAGAGTACACAATAAATTAGTTGGACAATCCAGCACATTATTGCAAAGAAATTTTTTTTTTATAAAAAAAAAGATAGTTTTTTGCTGTCTAAATCTTTGTACTAGCATTACCCGTCATTATATTTTGCACTTCACTCTCATACTCTATTATTCCCAATAATACCTATATTTACTGTTTATGCCAACTCTTTCATTCCCCAACCACGTCACATTCTTAAAACTTTTGTTACTCTTTATCACACATACTCTCCTCAAAACTATCGCTATTCATCCACACAATGTTGCGAAGTTTGCTTAAAATTATTATAATGTTGACGTTATGAAAATTTTTTTGATCAGCGAAGTTAGTTTGCACTTTGTTTGTAATATTCTGCAATTGGGAATGTATTTTTCTTTTTGCTATTTTGTAATCTTTACTTCTTTGCATTCCTTATTAACTCACTTTATTTTATTATTTAAATATGGGCTCATTATTTGGTACTTTATGACAAAATAAGCTATTAATTTACTTGAATAAGAAATTTCAATTTAAATAGTACTTAAAACGGGTGTAATTTTTCATCTCTTTTCTTAATATTCAATATCTGTCTTTTTTCTGTGTAAAAACTGGATAAATCTTTTCAAACTTTTACTTACAGGTATTTTGAATTATTTCAATAAGTGGAATTAATGAATGGTGTATCACTACAAGTAGTGCTTTATATGATAGCTTGGTTTTTTTCATATATAACTGCAAACAATGGATCATATTATCCATGGGATTTGAATGCTGCTTGTCAACCTTACATTGAGGTTTTCATTTAACAAATACTAATTATTTTTAAGTATACAGCATTTGTTAAATGTATTTTAGGTAGTACATTATAAAACAATGAAATATTCAGCTTCTTTTATACCTCAAATTCATTTTTTTATTATGCAGTAGTGTTAAATTATGCTTGTTAAAAGGTGATGGTTTAAGTCTAAACCTAACTGAACTAAATTTAATCTTAACAGTAGGTTTAATTCTAACATTGTTTGTATAGTACTTCATTGATTACATTATAGTATTTCATTGAGTAGTTTTTCTTTTTTCTTGCAGTATTTCGCAGAAGCAAGTTCTAAAATGATACGATGTGCGGCTATCTATTCTTCGCCACCAAAAGTTTGCACATATTGTACCGAAGAATATATTGCTTTGAAACAGATGGAATATAAACTGCATAAACTGGTAAGCAGCAGTCTGTTACAAAAAAGTTAGGTTTCAGAAAACTTATGCTGGAAGAAAAAAAAACTTATACATGAATGCTTGATAGGAATTTGGACCTAAGCATAAATGCATTAACTTGTGCACTGTATACTCAATAGCTTGGCTGTTTATCAATTAACCTTAGAATGGTAAAGTGCAATTTTTTTCAGTTTTCGCTTACTGTAGCTCTTGGAAAATAAGCTTTAATTCTAAATAGTTTGGAATTTTAGGAAGACCTATTTTCACGTGACAATATTACTTGCAACCGTGTAATTTACGAGAGTTACTTAATTTCATATATATCAGAGGTATCGACGACAATAACAAAAAACATATGGGAAAATTCGCGCTGTTCTTGTAAAACTTTTATTTCCTACAATTTGTTTCTACAAATTATAGGAAGAATCCAAGAATATAATCTTGATTTATTTTTCTTTAGTTTTTTTGTACTAGCTTGTTTATTTTTGTTCAAGCCATAGGAAATAGTTTTTTTAAGGGACTAATGCGCTGTATTCATTCACTATGCTATTAAATTGGAATAAAACAGTTCTAAGAGTAGAAGGATTGCGCATCTGTCTTTTGGAAATAAAATGAACTTGTTTTAAACCTAATAAGTTAAACGAATTTCATATTTAAAAGTAGGTATCATGAATCATGATGACCTAAAATTAATTTCGTGCTTGAATGAAATTTTTCTGCACATCTGACTTAAGAAAAATGGACAGCGTCTGTTAGTTCTAATTTCTTTTTTATTCTACATCTTACAGCCAGTGGAACCATTGAAGATAAATAAATTTATTTCAGATGGTTCATTTTAGATGATTGTTCATTTTATGCATTTCAGCTTGTGTAGATATTGATTGGCATTTGGAAACAAACAGCACTGAATATACTTTCTATAACAATACTATAGTGTTTCAAAATAAGTTGTTTAATTGGAGGCACTGCATTTCTAATTTCTCATTTCTTCCTAATGATACGGTCATTTGCGACAAATGTCTAAGTTCGTTCAATGAGTTATTCCAGTTTTACTGGTATATATACATCACACCGAATATTAATTTCTGTTTAGATGTCGAAACTACGGTTAGTTTGCTTTTTCTTTTTTTATGCTAATTGTTATTGCTTCAATGTACTGCTTATTTTTCCTTAAAAATTTATTGCTTAAATTTCTCAACTCTTTAACTTGAACTTTATTGCAACTATTAGAAGCGACCTTCATGATATATGTTTATATACTTTTCTTCAAAAAGAGAAATGAACATTTTGAATGTTAGATCCTATGCAGTATAAAAAGTGGCATTCTTTATGTAAAGAATGTTGACTGAGATTCATAAAACCATTTTATCGGTACTGACACAATCACCATAATGTATAAATCAAACGGTGAATGGATAAAAAAATTTTAGATGAATGATACAATGAATTTATGGCATAATGTATGGCATTGTTCGGATGATCGAGCAGAAGAATTACGAGATTGGACTTTACTTGGATATAGTTTAGCTTTGCTAATAATCATAACAATATTTTTCTATGCTGGTAGTTATATCCAAAGTTCAGAAATACAGAGACATCTTGTGCAGTGTTAGTCTTCAGAAACATACTCTTTTAGATTGATGAGTTTTATACAGTCATAAATTGTGGAATTTCATGAATCGTAGTTGCTTAAATTTCTATTATTCTTAAAAATGTAACTCATGCATTTCACGTGGAAATTTTGAAGAATTATAGATTCGCAGCTAGAAGCGCCATGTGCTTTGCGATCACATATTCTGAGCTCATCAACTTTGGATAGAGTATCTTCGTCAACTGCTGGAGATTGTGAACGGATTAGCAATTTGCAGTAGCATATTATCGTTTTTTTTTTTTTTTTTTTTTCTGTGAATTTTTTTTTGATTGATTGAGTTGAATGTTATAGGTTTATTTGGCTATGTGCGAAGTCAGATATCTTGAATCTTTAGACAGAGAGAACTGCAAAGGATTCGTTTTTTTAGTTGGAAAGGAAGATAGTGAATACAGAATCATCTGGTAGCATTTGACTCGTTAACGATATAGCACAAAAAGCTAGAATCATGTAGTATTTGTTGTCGTGACTATTTTTACATTAATTAATAGGTAAGGAAATACGATGAGTTAAAAAACAAACATGGAAATTGAGAAAACAAAAATAGCAGTGTATAAAGCTTATTGTCTCTTTGTATTATTTCATTAAAATAACTATTGTTTGCTATATATAATTATTTACTTTTCTGTTCTCATTTTCAATTTCTTTCTTTAGTTTTACTTTTGTATTTTGTATTGCATTCTATCTGATTCGTTTTAAAATTGCCTCGTTTGTTTGAAACTTTGTTATTACGTGTTTTACACAGGTAGTTTAACGGGTTTACTAGAAACTGTTGTAATTTCACTGTTTTGAGCATTTTTCGCTATGAATCCAATTACTTCTGGGATTTAGTATTTGTTTGTTTATTTTTCACTCTCTTAATAATATAAATTCTGTAGTGGAGATCTGTTTCAGACACATATCTCATTATCTTTTGGTATTATTATACAGAATTTCTCTTTTAATTCGCAATATTTTGTATGATGCTCTTTGTGAAATATAAACCGCTTCATAATGTGGGATATTTTGTACCATTTTCGGTTTATTCCTTGGTATCTCTTTGATAATAATAGAGAGGCCCAGCGACATTTTATCTTGAGATTAAGAAAAAGTTCATCGAGATGATTCCAATTGTTTTTATATAAAAAGTCTAGTAGATGCTAAATGAAAACGATTGGCTTAGAAAGAGAGAAAAAAAAGTAGTGTAGTTCTTTTTTGGTCTTGTTTTCGTCGTATAGAAATCGTTTTGTAAAAATTTATATCGATTACGCTTTCTTTATAATTTCAGGTAACCGATTTTACTCATTACACAAGAAAAGTTGACATGATGGGAGATAATGATGAAGTTAGTTTGATTTACATCATTTTACCGCTTGGTTTGTAAATTTCGCAAAATTTAAATGTATCTAAGCAGCAGGAATTATGGCTTGCTTGAGTATTCATTCATTATCCTTAGGTTGAAACTCAACCACTTACTGTTGATGAAGAGGAAGTAATGGATTCACTGATCAAATTTCGTGAAGAATGCATAGCTCACACCGGAAAATGGAAAAAATTACTGGATGAATGTACGGAGCGCGTGAATTCGAAAGCAAAGACAAAAGAATCATGTCATTACGAAATGGTTGATTACATTCAAGCTCTTGATCACTGCGTAAGTTGTCTATAAATTTGTTTGATGTGTAGGAGTTTATAATTATTTGCCTTTTAAAGAATTAAAATTTTAATTTCGAGAAGCTAATGAACAACAGGTGTTCCGTTTATAAATAAAAAGAAAGCTGCCACTCTACATTTCTTATTTTTCAATAAACTATTTTTAGACTTAGATAGAAGTAGTTAAGGGATTTTGTTTTTGTTTTTTAATTTCTACCTTTGAAAGGATATGAATATGAATGGAAAGTAATTTTATACTTATGGAAAGTAATTTTCAGGCTATGCCTAAAGCTTTTGCAGCTCTGAAGTAATTCAGTGATAATCTCTCGAGAGTGATTTTAAAGATAGGTTATTGTATTTGCCAGATGGCTGTGTGCGTCTTTTAGCGAATAAACTAATTTGTTTTTGATTTGAAGTTTCTCGCACACTTAAAATATCAGATCATATATACGCTTGAAAAAGAACCCTAACGGATATCCTGTGGCGTATGCAAATATTTGCAAGATATTAAGTAGTAACAACACATTTTACTGGAACGTCATGAAGCTTAGATGTAAGCGTTTAGGTGCTCAAACACATAATCCGCTATACTAATAAAAACAATCAAATGAACATTTAATAATGTTAAACTAGATTTTATCCAATTAATTGTCATATGATTTAAAAACTTCAATGTTTTATATCAAATACACTAAGCAGAGTGTTACTTTTTTTTTAATATTTAAATTAAAAACATTTTAGCAATTCTTTTATGCATATGTATAATTTTCATTTATCATGCTTGTTTCTTTTTTGTTTCAGTTGCATTGCTACCATTTCTCTACTATTATTAGTCAATCAGTTTATTGTTAATTAATCAATAAATGAGAATTTTGCTTTTTATATGAATTACGAACTTTACGTGTTAATTACTATCAAGTTAACCATCCAATATGAAATATTTTGTAGAAAAAACATATAATAACTTATGTAAATAATATTTAATCATTTTCTTTCTATATTCTCTAATGATAGATTGGAATATTTGTGCTAGTGAAATTATCAAATGATGTTAAATTTTGGAACATTTATTCCATAGAGAATAGAAATGTGAAAATCTTAACATAAGGAAAAGGATGAATTGTATTATTATATTAGAATAGCTATTGTTAATCGATGATAAACATAATCATACCACTGCGACATTATTATGTTCAACAATTTTATATTTTGAAATTTAATTGAATTGAGTGTTTGATTATTTTTGAAAGTTAAATTAAAGACGACAAATTTTAGTTCATTGATAACCAAACATAAAATTTTGTGCAAAAAAAAAGCAGCATACTTATACTAATTAGCCAGTCATTTTCTTATTGCAATTTTAACATATATTACATTTAGTTACAGAATTACAAGGAAATCAAACTGATTTGCAAAATGGATGAAATATACTTTGTTTGTGCTTATTGTAAAAAATACTTTTCTCTTTTTTGTAAGAAAGAAAAAAGTAACATTTTGAGAATTAGAATGTAACACAGTGTTGACTAGGCTACAATAATATATTCGTCTGTAAATTATAGAGTACTTTTGCGTAGAAACAATCATTATTATTTATGATTATTATTGTTATTGTTACTAATATAATAATAATAGTAACATAAAAGTATGACAATAATAATGTAATCATATCCTGTATTTATCATTATTATTATTTTTATTATTGTTAATTATTACTGTTATCAATTTTGTGCATGTAAATATAGTACTAACTTTACTCATTTTAGTCGCTTACCATTCGTTTACGTTTACCATTAATAAAATAATAATATAATTAAAAATAAATAACAATAATAATAGTAATAATAAGAATAAGAATGGTAATAATACCATTGTATAGAAATGATTTCAAGCATATCAGTGTTCGTTTAATAAAAAAAAAATTTTTTTTTTGAGATAATTTCCCGTAGTTAAATTAACTAATTAATTTTTTATTCAATTTTAATTTATTTACCTCAAAAAATTCTTTCCGTAATTAAATTAACTACATTCTGCTTTCAGTTTTTATTCTAAACTTTAATACAATCAAATATAGTAATCACTTCTTACTCAAATTGATTAATTACATCGATGCATCCGGTTGGTTTGATTGATTCAGCAATTTCCATCTTCAATTCATGCTCTATAATTACGAATAATCACATTCATAACAATAAAAATTCAAGGTTTATTTGAATATAGATGCATTAATCTGCTTATATTTACAAAATTTTATATGAATGTAAATTCTTTTACTGAATTTTAATCAATATCATCACTAATTTTTTCTTTCTTTTGTAATTAATTAATCTGACTTTGGTCATTTTCATTTTCTTGTACCTTAAAATCAATGAATGCATCTATGTAGTTATTAAGTTTTTATCTTTATGTTTTACTATAAAATAAAAGTAAATAATTATTGTAAGCGCATTTGATTTAATATTTTAAGCACTCTCATAGTTAAATTCATATTAAATTGTCAAACGAAATTTTATAGTTTTTTCTTCCTTATTTTTCTGGAAATTAATCGCAATAAATATTTTAAACATGTAGTGCGTCCACTTGTTCATTTATTGAATGATTTTTGAGAATATGCAAATAATTGAAAATTACCTTTTTTTTGCAATTTTTGCAATTTAGTTGCATTTGTCATAATGATAAAATTAAATAATAATGATTAATAATTAATAATAACAGAATAATAATAATAATAATAATAATATTAGTATCAATATTAACATTAGTAAATATTGATTAGTAAACAGTACTAGAATTTACTTTTTAAAATCTCTTTCCTCCTAATTTTTTCATTTTGCTAGTTTTTCATACTGAATAAAACTTAACATACATAGAATTTACTTAATGATTTTGATGCTTTTCTTTCTTTTTCTTTTTTCAACAAGCATATAGTCGAAGTCGAAGTAAAAAGCAATTCATTGGACGCAATATGGCATTTAGGATGGCAACAATCGATTGCTAACATCCATCCATCCATCCATCTATCTATCCGATTCATTCATTGAATCATTCATCCATATATAAACAAGTATGAAAAGGAATGAAGAAAGATGGAAGAAGGAATTGAGAGAGAAAAAGAAATAATAGTAATATTGATAGGTAGTGGAATTTTTAAAAAAGTATTCTACTTTATAGAGACGAGAAGAAAAGAGAAAGAGGAAAAGAAGACGAAGAAATAGCTAAGCTCTTTTAGTTTATACTTAGCCTAATAATAATCAAAAGCTTAGGCTGTTTTTTTTTTTTTTTTTTCATTAATACTTTCTTCTTTTTTATTATCTTTCTTTATACAATTCTTTCTTTATTTACATTTTCTTTGTTATAAAATTTTCTGAAAAACAAAAATATTTCTTAAAAAAAAGAAAAAAAATGAACGCTTTAATAAAATAGGAAAAAATGAATGACCTTCCAACTGTTTAATTATAGATAGGTAAATTTCATCAAAAAAAGAAAAAATGACAGAAACAAAAAATAAAATTAAACTGATTGTTATTTTATTGCAATATAATTGAATAAATATAAATTACTTTATTATTTATTTCTTTTTTTTTCTAAATCTTTTTTTCTTTTCAGGTTTTCTCTTCTTTTTTTCCTTCTTTCCTATACAATAATGATATCATCACTACTGCTACAATCAAATGGACATTATTGCTTTGTGCTATTTCTAACCATCTGTTCCATAACATCTGGACATTTCCTGTCCACCACCACCAGCATCGCCACCATCGCAAGCACAACCACTACTACTACTACTGCTATCGATCATCACAATCATTCCAGTTATCGACACAAACAATTGCAACTGCAACAACTGCAGCAACTGCAACTGCAACAACTGCAGCAGCAGCATCATTTACCAATCATTGTACCCGCGATATCACGATCACGTCAACACGCCATTACTCGTCGTGCTATTCAGTCACAACATCAGCATTTATCATTTACTAATGATTATCACTCTACTACTCCAACTCTTAAGCTCGTCAAGAAAATCAATATGTTACAAGTAACTTCTTTCTTTTTTTAATTATTTTTTAAATTCTTGAAAAAAAAGCAAATTTTATATTTATCTTTTTTCATTTCATTTCAGTCCTTTTACAATAATATTATATATATATATATATACATGAAAATTTAGTTGATCAAAAATTTAATTCATGAAATTTGCAAAATTTTGACAAATATTTTGCAAATTTTACAATTATTATTATTGCATTAAACTTATTAATTTAATTAAATGTTTCATTTTTATAATATTGCTATATTAATTATATAGATTGATGAAGAATTGAAAGCTTTAAAAAGGAAACGGAAACGTTTACGGCAATTGCGCGAAGAAGTGCGTGAATTAAGTGAACATCTTAAAAACAAACGTACTAGTGGTAAATTTTCTTAATTTGTTTTCATAAATTTTTATTAGCTTCAAAAAAAAAGAAAAAAAATAAAATTTTGTCATATTTAAGTTCCTAAAAAAAATAAAAAATGGAAAATTGTTTGTTTTCAAATTAAAAAAAATTTGATAAAAATCTATCATTCATCCTTAATTATATATTTGAAAAAAGAGAAAAGTGATAGATATATCGGATTGTTTATATTCATTTTTCTTTTTCACTCATACCAAACTTAAATTTTCGGAATTTTTGTAAAACACTAGAATTCGAAAATTGCATATGATTTTTTTTAATTTACTTGAATTATGTTATTATTTTTGAAAAAGCTAATCGCAAATTCCTCGCAAATATTATCATTAAAAGCAATTTTTTAAACTGTTTTTCTTCATTATTAAAATTTTATAAAGTTTTTTTTAAAAAAACGAAAAATACCCCACCCAAAAGTGTTAGAACGAAAATAAATTAGTTTTTCAGATAAAAATAAGTGCGACTACTCAAAATTAGCACTGCAATTAACGGTTTGTAAGTCTAATTAATTAAAAATAATTCCAAAAAAAATTAGTACGTTGTTGAAAAAAAAACAAAAATAACATTCAATTTTTGTTTTCCTAATTTTTACAGACTTTTTACATTACTAATTAATAACTGTGTTTACATATTGTTATATTATTTCAAATCATTATTGTATTATTTAATTACATATTGTTATTTAATTATGTATTATATTATTTAATAAATCTTGTCCAAAAATTTTTGCTTAACAATCTTACATTGAAGAATTGTTTTTTTTTTTTTTTTTTTTTTTTTTGCAGGAAAAAATAAATGATTAATTAATTAATTAATTAATTAATATTTCGTTTTATAAAAAATAATTTGCTAAAAAACAGTTT